CAAAAGAAAATTTAGAAAAGACATGTCGAAAACTAAAACAGGCCCCCAGTATTTTTTTTGCATGTTTTTCTATAAGTGTACCTGAAAAAAAAAAAAAAGAGGGAAAAAAAAAAGGGAAAGGAATAAGGTTCTCAAGCAAATCAGGTATCCCTATGCATATCTGTTTTCTGTTATTTTTTCCTTTTCTTTCTTTTTCTTCCCTTCTAGGCAGTACAGGACTCTCTCCATCTCTGCAGTGCCCCCTCAGGCATGGACATGGATGTGGCTTTAGCACAGGTAAGTAACTGAACTGGATCTCCTCTATGGCCAAGTGAGGTCTTAGTTACAGGTGGCCAGCTTTTGCACTTCTCATTCTAAAAAAACAATACATTTCCCTTCCTCTAGATTTTTTTTTCTTTCTATGATACAGGGCAATGAAAAGAGAAATCTGTTACCTTAATATTGAACTAAATTTTGTTTACTGACCAGTGTATGTTGCCAGTTATATTTTGGTTAAGAACAAACATTGATTAGGAACATATCTATGTTCTATTTGTACAGTAAAGACTCACTGGGTACAAACTGGTGCTGTTGTGAGACCTAAGAAAGCCTTTTCCATTTTAATTTTAACACTGACTTGGGTGATCATTGGCTGATTCTGCATATATTAACAAACAAAAACACTGATTTTGCTTTCCAGAAAATGAAAAAGAAATTGTTGGCAGTGTAAAAAACACATTGAGTAAAATGACAGAAACACATAGAAGACATGTTCAGAGGCGTCTTTTCTTCTGTAATGCATACTGCAAAAAACAAAAAACAAAAAAAAAAACAAAAAACAGGAACACAAGAATAAGGGATATACAAATTGATAAGTATTAAGTGATAGAATACATCACAGCATTACTAAATCTGGGAAGTAGGAAGCTACTGACTGACTGTAGTATTTGCCTAGTCATAACTACTAGTAGGCAGAGCAGACTCCCCCTAGCTCAGCAGCTCAATAGATGCCCAACCACCCTTTCTTTCCTGCACATAGAAAAACCTGGGAAGTGTTTAATCTGTGTACAGGAAATAAATCTTTCGTTTTCCAACCTAACAAAAATTTAATCAAACAGTAGGGTGGTAGAAGAAACATAAATCAGAACCTCAATGAATGTTTACAGCCAAGGGAAAGAAAAGCCAGGCATGAATGAACAATTTGTTTAAGAAAGAACTGACAACATCAACAAAGTATGACATGTCTGTAGGAGCAGTGTTTTATAAATGTGAGGCAGCCATAAACATGAGAAGACAATCTAAGGGTTCTTATACCCTCTCCCACTTCTTTCTTTAAATCCTCTTTAATATGGACTTCCCTAAGAGGTCTGTGTGTACAGGTATCTTGGGACTGGTGCTCTTTCCCTGACTGCTGTAGAAGATGCTTATTTATCTATTATTTATTTATTTACTTGGACCTGATGCTGGTGCTGCTGCTGGCTGCAGTAGTGCATTTTCCCTGCCATATTCACACCCCTTCCCGGCCCCACCTCCCCCAGTCTGCTGTGAAAAGCAGCACTGTCTTAATCATTGGTTTACATACTCAATAAAAGAGCCTCATGCCCTGAATGCCCGTGATGGAATCTCTCCTTTCTGGTTTGGAAAGGAGTAAATCCTCCTCCAATTGAGAGAGAGAGAGAGAGAGAGAGAGAGAGAGAGAGAGAGAGAGAGAGAACAGTTATTTTGCAGTGCACTGAATAGACAATTCACAGGAAAATGTTGAAGGAAGCAGGAAAGCGACCCCCAAGTGCAGTACATGGTTCACATACTTTATAATAAATCTTCTCCTCGAACCAGGAACTAGCTTAGCCTTGTGTGCACTGACCGGCCAGGGCCAGTACACATATTGGTAGGGAAAACACATCCAGCGGTGTCGAATTTCCATCACAATCACCAAATTAACTGATTTCCCTCACATCACACACTCTTCCTAACCAGAGCTTACTGTCGCAGGCAGCAGGCGGCCGCACGCACGCACAGACACAGAGACACACGTAGACACAGATATACACACACACACACACACAGAGAGAGAGAGAGAGAGAGAGAGAGAGAGAGAGAGAGAGAGAGAGAGAGAAGAGCTGAAAAATGCAAGTTACTGAGAGGTGAACTAGGGTCTCCAAGAGGATGTTTTCAGCAGATTAGAAACACAAGTGATGTGTCAGCCACCCTGTTCCTAGTGCGATGGTGGGGGTGTGAGCACTGGGAAATGGGACTAGGCAATGTGAGCAAGGAGAATGCACTGTCTGCCTTCTCAGAGACTCTGACACATGACATCTGAAATTTATATCCCATGAAAAATACACAAAATGACCACGATATAGTCTAGGAAATATAGCAACCAGGATTAGTTAATTAATTCAGAAATATTTTGCTACCTCTTGTTTCACATTCATAAATATTTACAAATACATTAGGGTCCCCAGTCTGTATATCCCGGAAGACGGCAGGAAAGAGAATGCATTCCAAGAACTTACTGAAAGATGGTTCATTGACCTCATTTAAATCCTACAAAGACCAACTGGGTTTTGCACACCAGTTGGTCTACATGTGTCTTACTTTCACAACCCTTTTACCCAAGGACAATTGAATTTGATCAACTCATCTTTCCCACAAATATCCAAATGGTGACAGAGGTTTAGAGGTGGGCAAAAATTTATCAGTAAAAGAAGAGTCATCAAGATTAAAAAAAAAAAAAAAATCTATCGCGCATCCTTTCACATCCTATCCTTCCTGTATCACACACTGGAGCCACAGCCACATCCCTATATTACTCTTCAAAGCAACAATCTTGTGCCTTTCAGCCCCTACACCCAGCCTTAGCAAGTAGCCTCTGCCGAGTCCACCACCCAGAAGTGTCCTCTCCCATGCACTCCAACTCCATACATTGCCATTTATCTCATAATCAGCATCGTCTTCCCTTCCCATGCATCCCATCCGTCCATCCTCCAAAAGAGGTCTGGGGCAAAGTGAACACTGGTTCCCTAGCCACCTTGTATCCAAACCAGTGATTTGCATAATAACTGTTTTGTGCGGTTTCCCTCTCCTGCAGTTGCAGGGTTCTTACATTTCACGTGAAAGGATAATATTAATTACGGAAAGAAGCGGCGGGCAGATGATGGAAAGGTAGAGAATCTGAGCGAAAATCTGAAGCAGAGAAGTAACTGCATGCATTTCATTGCTTTAAAAAAAATGCAAACTGCACGTTCTGGATAATAAAAAGTCGAAACATTGATAAAGTGGGTTTAGGTCTTTTAAATTTTCCGCTCTATTCCTCCTTTAATTTCTTAATCTCTCTCTGTTCTCTCTCTCTCTCTCTCTCTCTCTCTCTCTCTCTCTCTCTCTCTCTCTCTCTCTTCCCCACCCCCTTCTCTCCTCTCTCTAGCCCAGACAGAGTATCCCTTCTCTTCCTAGGTGAATGACATGTCTCACAACAACCCCCCTCAACCCCCAGGATGCTATTGCGATGCACACGGTGCCGCTGCTGCTGTTCTTGCTGTCTCGGTAGCTCGCTCCCAAACCCTCGTACACTTTTTTTTTCCCCAAGACATACGGATATGATCATGATGGGAAAGGGGGGGAAAGGAAAGGCGACCCTAAAAGGGGAGGAGGTTAAAAAGATGACAAGAGCTGGAGAGGGTAGGTCAAGACCATGATGTGGGAGGTGGCTGGTGGGGGTGGGTGGGAGAATGGAATGTTGAGACAGGCACAAGTTGCCAGCCACCGGGCGTGGGAGGGGGATGCTGGCTGGGATAGAGTAGGCTGAAGGCAGCTCAGGTGAATGAAAAGGCAAAAGGTGCCGCGTAAGGGGCTGCCTGCTGGGAGAGCTGGGCTGAGCCAGCGCTAGAGATTCTAAGGGCTGGTGCAAACTGCCACTGCCCCCTGCCGCACCGGGCGGAGGGGGAGGGAGTGGAAACCGCCGGGGACTCGCTGATTGCTAGGGGAGAGTGGAAATACGGGGTGGAATGGGGAGGATGGGGAATGGGCGTGAAGTTGAAGCTCCCCGCGGCGGGGCGGGGATTACCTTGTAGCAGGAGCCCGCAGACGCTGTAGAAGCGGAGAACGGCGCTGCGTTTCCAAATCATGGTCCCTTCTCTAGGGGTCTGGGGAAGGATCGAGGGGACAAGGAGACGCTGGTGAGAGGGTCACACAAGTGTACGGGGTCCGCTGGTGTCTTCCTCCCTGTTCCCGCCGGACCCACTATCCCCGCCGCTGAGGTTTTAGAACCCGAGCGGACCCGGTTCGGTGACAGCAGAAGCGGCTGTGGCAGAGCACCAGCAGAATGGGGTTTCGGTGGGCGAAATAGTTTCTTCTTCTCCTCCAGCTGGTGGTGGTGCAGCCGCGACACTCGATCTGTGGGCACGCGTTTGGAGCCTGCCTTCCTTTAGGAGCTCGCGGCAAGTCCCAGAGCCAGCTCCAAGGCTGCCCCGGCAGGTGATGCAGGGATGCCGGGGTGCTGGGGAAGGTGCCCGCGAGGGCTGCAAGGAGTGGGTAGGTCACTGAGGGTAGGAATGGGGCAGCAAGCAAGCAGTACCGCCGCTCGTGCTCTGGATTTCTCCTAGTCCTAGAAGAAGAGGCGGCAGCGGTGGCAGCAGCGCTCAGTGGCGGCAGCGCCGGCGGCGGCTCCTGGATGCTCTGGCTGCAGCAGCAGTGGCGGCGGCGGCGGCGGCGGCGGCGGCGGCGGCGGCGGCAGCAGCAGCGGCAGCTCTAGCGAGCACCAGACACAAGGGCAAGCGCAGCGCGGCGGAGGCCCCGCCCCTACCCAGGCCAGGGATAGACACCGCCCCTCGGCCAATGGAAACACATCCACCCACTCGCCCGGGCCAATGGCATCGAAGGATGGGTGGAGACAAACGCCGGGAAAAACAAACAGGCTTCTCAAGGACCCTTCGGGCAGGAAACACCAAAACCCCCTTTCACGCACTTGGAGCTGGTCTCACCTCCTTAGAGATGTTCGCGTGCTTACTTGCAGGGAGTCAGCCAGGTTCAGGAACGAATGCAGCTCCCAGGAGAAGGGTACAGCCAATCGCTACCGCGAGGGGGCGGGGTTAGCCGTGTCCACAGCAGGTTCTGGAATCTGTTGCCTGGGCTTGGTCTTGGGTGCGAAGTTCCTGTGCGCATTTGGACTTCTAGAGCAGATGGTGGCTGCACCTGCCCACTCACCAGCTGCAGTAGCAATCTTTGACGCTCCCAGCAGCAAAAGGGAAAGATTGCAGAGGGCGTAGGAGATGCTAAGTATAGGGAGCTGAACACCTACCTGCCTACAAGAACTTGGGTGGCAAAGAGAGGAATGTGAAGAAATCTTTTTGTTGTTTTCTTCTGAATTTTTGTTTAGTTCACGTCTAATTCTCAGCATAGTCCCAAGAGTGACTGTGTGGGTAGTGGGATCAGACGGACTCGAGTTCAAATCCTTAGCTGTCACTTCTGGTTTGTAATGCTGGATGATTTACTTGAATCTTGAAATTTGAAGGCGTCTCAGTTGCAAAACGGGAATAGTAGTAATGCGTAATATACCAATGCAAAGATCAAATAGGAAGACAAACTTGAGTAGGGGCCCACAAGATGTGAAAGTACTTTGTAAATGGTAGTTTACCTGTGAAGACTATTTCTAAATGAGAATGATAGAAATCTTAGCAAGCTTCTTCAAAAGTTTTAAGTATAGCTTCAAGAAGAAGAGGACATGCATTTCATTTATGTATGTGACCAAAAGTCTTCAGAGAGTCTGGTAGACCTAAAAGGAATCAGCACTACAAATCAGCACCCTGAAATGTGGCCTTTAGGAGAGAAACTATAAATGAACAAGACATAAATTAAACAGAAATTGTTTCTAAATTAGCTTAATTCCAAGGTTTTTCCTATGACCAGTTTTTAATTGGGCCAAATTAGCAGATGATGGACGCGTTCAGGAGTGTTAAATCAGTCACACTGTAAATTAAGTCTGCTTTGTTTGAGACACCACACAATAGAAGCCTGCAAGCAAAAAGACAGAGGCAAAGATGAGAAGCAAGATCAATATGGATGCCCTTCACCCTTTCCCAGGTGTGCGTTACTTTGCCACAACCTTTTACAAATTCAACCCTTCCCTTTTAACTAATGACCCATTTATTTCTCTGCCCACCTTTCTCCCCAGGTTCTCAAAATTAAGGTACATCTTGTCCATAATAAAACTGCAAGCAGGCTCTTAAAAGAAAGAGAATGTAAGAATCACTTTGTTATTGTTGAAGGTAGCAGCCTTTTGTGAGTTTTAACTGTTAGAAAAGTCAGTAAGTCCATGGGTATTGCTAGCTTTTAAACTATTGTGAAGATCAAAAGATACAATACTAAATATTATTGACTAATGCTTGGGTTTTATGTCAGGAAGACTATAATAAGTGGAAATGCCAAAGAGAAGACAGTTTCTCTATTGAAACGGAGGTGGAGATACCCGGTTCCAGTTCCATCCCTGTTTCTGTCTGTATTACCCTGTGACCTTTTGTGTCCTTAAGTATAATAAAAGAGTGGAATTTGGTCACTTCTAAATTTACAAAGAGCTAAGAAAAAATGAAAACTGTTGTATTTACAAAAGCAAACTATTTGAGCAGGAATGTTCCAGCATTTGTGATAAGTACCATGGATCAGCTTATGTTTTGATTTTTCTTGGAACCACAATGGCAACCAAGAACTGTACCCTGAAATAGCCTACAGTTTAGAGTTTAGCATGTGGCCTTCAATCCTGCAGCACCAGACAGTCCTGGGACCTGAGAATTGCAGAATCTCAGATTCGAACCAATACTGAACTGAATCTAGAGCTTCGTGGAAAGGGTTGTGTATCAGTATGGGAAGCACTGGTTGTTAGCATAATTTTACATATAACCTCAGGAAGAACGTAAGTGGCTGTTTTATGTAATGGAAGACACTCAAGGTCTCGAGGGATTCAAGGTAAATTGTTTTCTTAAAGGAACTATAAAGATACAATTTTTATCACAATCCAAAAACTTGACATCTTGCAAAGTATAGAAATTAATGCCCAGTTTAATTAGGTTTAAGGAAAGATGGGAAATTTGAATATGGAAAAAATTTGACAGAATTTAGAGACCTCTTTGGCTCATACAATTACGGGACAGGGGATCAGGAATAGTGACTTACTCCAGTCTTGTGGTTAAAAAAAAAATAGCAAAATTTTGAAGTCTGGCCATTTAGTAAATAGGGTCATCATTATACCCAAAGTATAATATAGAATCTATTGTAGATTCTTCAATGCTACTAATTAATTTAAAAAATATCAAATATGCTGAGATAGTTTATTTCAATATTTTAAAGAAATGCTTTTCGGCAAATGTTACAGATATGACATGAATAAATCCTCACAGCAATTCTTAGAATGCAATTAAATATCTTTAAATATATTCATTTTGTACATTTAAAGCTATTATTATCTACATACATCATCCGACTGACAGTAAATGTACAAATTAGCTGACCTCCTTTGATTCATCAGACAATGAATTAATTTCATAAATTGAAGAAAGATGGCATCTATCCATGGGTCCCTAGATGCAATCATCTTAAATAGGAAAACTACTTAGGACATTTTCTTTGCTTTCTTTATAGTGAAGTTTTATATTTTCTTTTGCTTCATGGCAAAAATAGTTTAAAATTTAATACAGTATTATTAAAAGACAATTAAGACAATTAAGGGCTTGCAGAGATCGCTCAGTGGTTAGACCACTGCCTGCTCTTTCAAAGGACCTGGCTTCAAATCCCAGCACCTACAAGGTAGCCAACAACCTTCTGTAACTCCATTTCCAGGATCTCTGATACCCTCTTCTGTGATCCTTGGGCATTTACATACTTATAGGCAATATACTCATACACATAAAACAATAATAATAAAAAAATTTAAAAAAAAACAGAGAGAAACAAATGTCGTAAAAGTAGATCATTCAATTAGTTCCAGTTAATGTGTTTTTGTTTGTTTATTTTGTTTTGTTTTGATAAAAGGTTTTAATATGTATCCCTGGCTAGCCCCTTACTCATAGGGATCTACCTTTCTCTGCCTCCCAAGTGCTGGATTAAAGTCATACCATCACCATGCCCATTTTCCAGTTCTTTGTTATGATGGCAGTTCTTAATTTTTCCTTACCTTAAGTAGGATAGCCCTGTTCGTGTGTACTGTCTTAGAACAGTGCATGTTCCCTCTTCTCTCAATTGTACCATGGACATGAAATTCTATTAACACAGTGACATTGTAGGCCACACTTTGGGCTACGAATATTTTCACAGAAAGTATTGGGACTTGTGATTTTAATGCTTAGGCCTTTTTGTCTTACTGGGACCAAAGTAAGTTGTGTACAAGTTTAATTATGTTTTTAAAAAAATGAAAACAGAGAAACTGTTTGGTGTCTTCCTTTCTTTCTACATGCATACATTTTCTGAGATTTGACATGGGTAAAAATATTTTAATTTCTCCTTTAAAATGTTAAATTTAGGTAAAATGTTTTAGTATTTAAAATATACAACAATTATAGATTCCCAGGACTCAAAATCTAAAAAATCCATGCTAAATTGACTCTCATAGCAAATTGACTCATAGTAAATTGACCTAGAAAAAGAAATTTCATGGCCTGATGAAAATGTAGACCATTGTGGAAGAAAATTAGCTCATTGAGTAGTGGAAGCATTGATTGTTATTCCCCTTGCTCTGTGGCATGTCAAGTATGATGTTAGCCATTTATGTTGCAGAAAGGTAAAGAATATATGGGTAAAGTATAGACTAGGTAAGGCATAGCATATAATATAGTATAATATAGGTAACATACTGCTGACATATGCCAAATAAGAGACATATAACAGATTAAGCACTATTAACCTCCTTTAGATGTAGTTTTACTTAGACTCATGCTTGTGTTGTTAAACAATTCTTGTCCTCCTTCAGAATTAGGACGTATATTTCAGGCCATCCCAAATTGCTTATTACTCACATTTTTAATTTTTGAAGATATTGTATAAAAGCAAAGGAAAAGATTCCATAGATACGCTAACCAAGTTACAAGCTCATAACGAACCATTTCTGAATTTTTATTTAACTACATCACATAACTATCTGATCAACATTTTCATATTCCCCATTTTAATGTATATAATCACAATGAAGATAAAATATATTTAAGATCTTACTCATTGTAATATATATCTGTATAGCAAATGAATCTAAATGATTTAAAGTTTGAAACCATTTATGCCTTTGTAAACTCTCCCACATGGACAGTAACTTTCAATAGGTATTTTCTCCAAACAAGCAAATACCATTCTGGTTTATAGGTACTCGATGAAGCTGAAGTTCAGAAGCATACAATGTGTAAAACAGAAACTTTGCAATGACCACAGGTAAATGGAAACACACTAAAGACAACTCTCAGCTTTGAATGTAATCACACTGAAATAACCTTTATTTAAATTAAAAAAACACACTCAAAGAAGTGAAGACATGTTGTTTCTATACCCACTAAGTCAGTTTCATAATGTTTGTGCGTATAGGGGTTTTTTGTTTGTTTGTTGTTTGTTTGTTTTGGGCTTCACTGTTTATATTTAAGACCATCTTAATGAGTGGTGGAGAGGTGGTTCTGTGGTTAGGAGTGAGTGCTGCTCTTGGAGAGGACTAGCTTTAAATCCCCAGTTCCTATCAGGTGGCTCACAACCACCTTTCACTCCAGCTCTAGGAGCATCTGATACCTCTGGTATTCATGGACACC